TACAGATCTACCTGTAGTATGTTGTTAAGTATATTACCAATTTACTTTTCTTAAAACCTCCCGTGCTTTTTAACATTTTGTGTGACAAACAGAAATTAATCCCCTTTTCTCCCCCTTTCCAAACCAACCTCAGCTCTTCTCACAGACTTTGCAACATAAGTTTCCATTTTGTTCCAATACAACGCAACTAAGAAACACTATTTCCCTACGCTATTGAGTAATATGCAGCTTCAGAAGCAACAAGTATAAATTGCTTTTGTTTACTCAACAGCTTCAAAATGGCTTGTCTAACAAAGAATTAATTGCAGCTATATGTTTCTCATGAATGCGAGTTTGAATATGTAAACTCTTGTCTATTGAAGGGTGAACGTTTAATCACTTGCTACAAAACACGGCAATATTTTGGGAAATAACAGAAACCACTGAACTGTATATTGCCGGCCAGCAGAATTCCTGACTTTGATATATTTTTCTGAGGTATTAACTGAATGAGAGAGTTGGTTTGTTGTGTAGTAATTACAGAAAAGAGATAAAATTATGAATGTTCCACATCTTCTGCATTGCAGTTGTCTGACAGTTGGCCTGTATCAGCAATTCTTCTTGTACCTTTTGAAGCCTTCTGAAGGGATTCTTTTTCTACACTGCCATATTTCATTCTCTCCGCCCTTCCCTAAGTGATTAAGTGTCAGAGAGTAGTCTTTGATATGCCTCTTAAAATGAAAAATAATAGGTGAGCGGGGAGAATGGTCATGTTCCCCTGCCTTTGGACTCGAAGATGAGGAGAGCCTGCAAAAGCTGATCTGATGAGGCTTCTGCAAGGCTGATGAGGGAGGTTGTGCCAAATTGGGGCTGGAGTGGAGGTGCAACCCTATGATGCAATTTCCTCGCAGCATGGAATTGCCTTTATTACCAGCATCCCCAGAGGCAAACTTTATAGGGTTCACGCTTAAAGAGTTATGGTGAACTGTGTGCTCAAAGTTTCCCAGAGGAAAAGTGAAGATTGACTGCTCTGTTTCTTTCTGCGACATTTTAAAACTTTGCGCTCAGGTTTTATTTCAGTTTTGCCGCTGCTCATCTTGAAAACACTTCACATGTTGGGAAGAAAAAGGGCAGGGTGCATGTCTTCTGAGGGCTTTTCTGCAAGATGGCTCTTACAAAGTGTAGCCCAGAGCGGCTAATAATTGGCGGTGATGGGGAACTTAAAAAGATGCTTTGACATTATTTGTTTTTTATTATTTAGCAAAATTTTAGATACCACCTGATTGTGAAAACAAACTCTAAGAAGGTTATAAAATAGAACGTTAAAAATTGTTCATGGAACAGGGTTTTAAAATATTGAAAATATGATTAAAGTCAATAGTAGTATTTTTAACTAAAATATCAAAACACTTCAGCACCTATGTGTCAGGATAGGTTTGTGAAATAAAAATCTTTTAATAAGGCAGCAAAAAGAGTGCTGTGAAGGCACCTTCCTAATGTCAATTGGTTGGGAGATGCTTTGGCATTTAAAAAATGGTTTTCTTACAAGTGCAGAATGAGTACTGTGTGACACCTGAAGAGTACCAGTTCCACAGACTGAAGTGCTTGTGGCAATCCCACAACTAAACTGGTCCCAAGCTTTAAATGGCTTGATATATTAATAGCAACAACTTGAACTTGACTCAGTAGCAAATAGGCAACCAGTGGACATATCTGAGCCAAAGTGTTATATGCTGACAGAGCCTCATTCCTGCTTCTGGTTCAAGCTCAAAGGAAGCCCCACACAGAGCGCATTGCAGTGATCCAACCTTGAAGTCACCGGTGTCTGAACTACTGTAGCCACACTCTCCTACTCCCATAAAAGTTATAGCTCTCTCACCACTTGCAGCTGGTAAAACGGTGCTTTTAGACGCCAAGGCTACCACATCCGCCAGTGACAGAGCTGCGTCCAGAAGCAACCCCAGACTTCATACCTACTTTGCCCAGGACAGGAAGCAGACCAATTTCTCAGACAGACTTACCCACAGTGTCTCCATCTTGCCAGGATTCAAGCTCAACTTATTTTCCCTTATCAATTCCTGTAGCATCCAGGCACTGGGCTACATCCTGCCTGGCCCAGTCTGGCCTGATTTAGATGTTATGAAAAAATAGAGTGGAGTGTCCAGAGATGTGAAATCCTGGAAACTGGAAACAAAAGCTTGTAAAATTGGTTGGTTTGCAAAGAAATATAATTGCATTATATGTTGATCCTTTGCTTTAAATAGTTTATTTTATTACCGGTACATACTACGTTTTGAGGGGAAGAACAGGCCAAATTTGTGGGGGAGGAGAAGGGATTTTAGAAATTGGGTTTTATTTATAGTCTCTGCTTTTATTCACAGTAATGTTTTTATGTTTTTAGTTTTTATTGTAAGCTGTTTTGCCCAGAAAAGTGGCGTATAAATATTTTTAAATGAAATAAATTAAGCCACCCCCTTTGCATTTGCATCAGTTCCTTAGGACTGTTGCTCTTTCTAGACATTCTCCAGTTTTTGTCCCGTAGCTTCTTCCTGTGAAAATTGTTTCTGGATTTGCTGAATAGATGGTGCTATTGGAACTTCTCAGCATTTTGTTTCAAGATGTTTTAACACATTTGTACACACTGTAATTCAAAAACACATTCAGTACACCTTCTTTCCTGCAAAGAATTCTGGGCACTGTAGTTCCCCTCTCGCAGAGTTACAATTCCAAACAACCTTTAACTGCAGTACCCAGAATTCTTTTAGGGAAAGAGTGTGCTTCGAATGTGCTTTAAAGGTATAGTGGATACACACGGCCTTACTGTGTGCCGAGTTCCATTTGAACTCAGAACGACTTCTGAATGAAAGGGTTTAAGACTGCACATTATGGATCAACAGCAGATCTACTTTAAACTACTCTGTGGTTATGTGCTGATACTATTTTAAGCTGTTTGTAATTCTAGTAAGCTTTTGGTAAAGTTGTTCCTCTGTTTTAAGTTTGCTCTTTGCAGCTTCGCCTTGCTCCTAGAGCACTTTTGTTTAAACCTTATGAGCACTAATAGCTGGTAAAAGAACTGATACAAAAACTAAATGAAGTCTTTAACGTTTGACCACTGGAGAAATTTCATAACTGTAAACAGTTTCCCATTATCTGCAATAGTTTGTATGGAGTTCACATTATCTAATGCTCTTTTCCACTGACTGTAATAGAAGCTGTGTGTTAGACTTTAAACAATTAGCATTTCACAGCTGTTCTTTCAGTATCAGGAGGCCAGAGACAAATCTTCTCTTGTTTCCTTTTGTATAAAAGTACATTTTCGGGGGTTAATTTTTGGCAAGAGATACGATAAGAAGTATGGTCTGAATAGGTTCGTTGGAGGAATTGCATGTAACTCTTTTTTTTTTTTTTAACCCAGCTTCAGTGATAAGAATTAGCGATTAATAGACTAAAAGCTAGAAAAGAAGTTTCCTATATTTCAAGGCCACCTTGGTAAAATAGCAATAATAGTGTTATGGGCTGCTCATGAGGATGATGTGATTCAGTAACAATAAAACTAGAAGTTAATCTTCTATGATGTTTTGGCTTAGTTGGCCTTTTGTTTGCTTTGGTGCAAAGAGACTTGGCTTAGCTTCTCTCTCTCAGGGCTTTTCTGGGGTTTTCAGATTCAGCTACAAACTGGATGTTTGGCACACACTACGCAAAACCTCAAATAGTCTTGGTGGGGACATATTATTTTGTCTTGTCACTAGTGAAGAATTGAAGCTTAACCACTTCTAAATGTAGCAGAAAGCTTAGTACTGCGTCCTGCTTCTGTGGTGTGAACAGAAATGAGGGGGTGATCATGTGCATAATTTTAAAGGTGGCCTTTGGTTTGGCTTGGCTCTGAAGAGGATTCATAATTGATGTGAAATGCCCACGTGTCTGCCCCAAACTTCCAAAGAGAGGTTTCTGCTTTGTTTTGATTGAATGCTTAGGGTAAGGGAAACCTGGACATGCCACTAGATAGTGGCTGGGCCCTGCTGGGTTTTTTGCGTGCTCCATGTCACTGTGACCCACGCTGAATGTATCTGAGTGGCAGCTGCTGCATGCTGTGCCCGTAACTCATGAAACATGCTCTCCACCTGGAGCAACAGAGACCAGCTCTTCACACCATCCTCAGTTGCCATTGTCGGAAACTGTGGTGGGGCTCTCCATGCATTGCAGAAGACCAGTGAGTCCCACATGCTAAGTGTGCCATGTGAACCACCTGTGATGCAGAAAAGCCTTCCAAGCAGTGTCAGACATGTGTATTATGTGAGCTTGCATGTAATTATTATAGGAGTGTCATCCAATGAAGGAGTTCTGTTAGTGCAAGAATTTCCACTTATGCAACAAAACAGAACTTCCCTCCCTTTCCTCTCTCTGGTATCACAATATGGACTTCAAACCAGCTTTGGACAATACAGTGGACGCTCAAGTTGCAAACATGATCAGTGCGGGGTGCAAGTTCGCAACCCGCAGCATTTGCAATCCACAGCTGCGCGTCTGTGCATGCACGGGTTGCGATTCGGTGCTTCTGTGCATGCGCAAAGCGTGATTTTAGTGTTTCTGTGCATGTGTGACCCCCGAAACTTGCAAGTAACCCATTCCATACTTCTGGGTTTTGGCGGGTCCGTAACCCCAAAAAAAAGGTAACCTGAAGTGTCTGTAACCCAAGGTATGATTGTATATCAATTTTGCCTAGCCCTAGTGCCAAGCATGCAAAGAACAGATTTATCCACACTCACACTTTGAAGAAAAGCCATGCTCCGTAGCTATGCTTACAGCCTGCATAACAGTTTCACTGCAGATGTTTTGTACTCTGATTTCTATGCCTTAGAATCCAGAGAGGCCACTAGCACTCCTACAGAATTCCAGAATACCTTGTTTGAAAAGAGTGGTGGGAAAATAGCAGCGCAGTCTGTTGGCTGTTTTCCTGGAGGAGCTCAGGGATGCTTTTGACGTTGCTATTAATCCATGGTCCTCCAGTAATCAATCATTTGGGAAGGGCTGTAGCTCAGTGGTGGAGCATCTGCTTTGTATGCAGAAGCTCGCAGGCTCAAATCCCGGCACCTCCAGGTAGAGCTGGGAAATATTCCCTGCCTGAAACTCTGGAGAGCTACTGTCAGTCTGAATAGACAGTACTGAGCTAGATGGAGCAGTTGTCTGACTCGGGATAAGGGCAGAGCCATGGCATACATTTCAAGCACACCTGATGTGCATTTAAAGCACAGGACTCCCCCCAAATAATTATGGGTGCTGTAGTTTGGTAAGGGCACTGGGAATTGTAGCTCCGTGAGGCAGCTTCTCATGTTGCTCCATGACTGTAGGACAGGCTTCCTCAACCTCGGCCCTCCAGATGTTTTTGGCCTACAACTCCCATGATCCCTAGCTAGCAGGACCAGTGGTCAGGGATGATGGGGATTGTAGTCTCAAAACATCTGGAGGCCCGAGGTTGAGGAAGCCTGCTGTAGGATAACTTAGTGAAGATTCAAGTCTGCGACTCTGCTTGTTCAGAAAAAACCTGAACAACCTATTTAAAGTAAGGGTGTCTTACTTTGCAATGAGGGTGTAATAGTTAGAAGATATCTAGTTTTTAGCAATTGATTGGGTCCAATGACGCCAGTTTCCCAATTTTGAGTTTATGTAGGCATGGAGCCTTTTGGTGTTCATTCTCCTGTTCATACATTCAACAGTGTCACATAGTGGTTAGAGTGCTGGATCTGGGAACCCAGGGTTCACATCCCCACTCAGCCATAAAGTCCACTGGGCAACCTGGGGTCAGTCACAGTCTCTCATTACCTCTCAGCCTCACCTACCTCACAGGTTTGTTGTGAGGATAAAGTGGGAAAGGAGGAGAAGTGGATACATTGCATTGAGCTCCTTGGAGAAAAGTTGGGATAGGAATGTGATAATAAAATAATAAGTGATATATGTCTCTCATAATGTTATCTTCAGGTTTGCTGTGCATATGCCTCTTAGATTCTGAAAGGAGCAGAACAGAATAGGTAGGTAAACTTTGCTTAAAAGTGCTGTCATATGGCAACAATTCCTGTCATGCACAATTGATTATTTTCCACTCATCTGATCTATGAAGCCAGATAAGAGTGTCATCTGCACAATAGGTAGCTCTCTAACCAGTACTTTCAAAATTGAGGAATAACTGGTTGTATATTCATGATACCACTTCATTTTTAATGCTGAAAAACCTTAGGCATTTAGTTTGACTGTGGGAACATTAAGATGTAAAATAGACTTAGAATATTTCTGTCTATCTTTGATTTGCAAAACAGTCTTACTAAGAAGTGTTCGTAGCGTGGCAAAATGTGGTCTTAGTTTGATGTATGGCAAAAGCAATTCTAGATGGTTGAGTCTCTAGTTCTTATGCTGTTCCCTTTCTTTGTTGGATTATTTTAATCCTCTTCATTTAGGAAGCATGGAGAAGAGCTTTATTTTAATACAGTGCACCATCTCTAATGAGGTTGGCAAGGAGAGAATTTGCATGCTATAATGAGGTGTTTGTGTACTGCATTTTTAAAAAGAGTTCAGTAATAGAAAGGGGTATGATGAGGGCCAATCAGTACACAGTTGAGAGATTTTTTTAAAAAACACCTTCTTTGACGAAATAAAGTCCGCAGGAATGTATTTCACTTTTAACAGCAGCCCTCTAAAATGTGAAATGGGATTGTCCTTGTTACCTTCCTCCTGTTGAGAGTTTGTATGGGAAAGATTGCAGAGGTGTGAGATCTGTTGATATGTACTGTCTTCTAACACTTGTATGGAAAATGATGTGTCATGCACAGAATGTTCTTATTCTTAGTTATTCTGAGTGACTTCTAGTGCTTTCATTAACAGCTGGGAAAATTACTAGCCCCAGTCTTTCTTCACATGTCCATTTATTAACAGTAACAAAATGCTGGCATTGATGAGCTTGCTGAATTTGCTTGTTCAGAGCTGTGTGCTTTTTTGTGGCATGAAATGGGCAGGAAAAGGCAGCTGGCATCAAGTGGTACCAATTCTGATGCTGGAATCTGCTGGGCTTTCTAGTCCTTGAATAAGCAGGAGAGAGAGAGAGAAAAAGAAAGAAAGAAAGAAAAAGAAAGATTCTCTTTCAGCCTTCAAGAGGTTATAAGAAAGAAGGAGATTTTGTTATCCTACGCCTCTCGCCAGTAAGCAATTATAAGATGGCAGCTATCGTACAATCAGAGTTCACATGGCACTTTCACTTGGAAGAATTATAGGGTAACTATAGTGCCAAAATTAGGGTACATGTTAAATTTCCCCTACCCCCTGAAAACTCTTGGCACATTGTGGCCAAGCACCCTGAAGGAAAATGGCTGTTGAAATCGAGTGTGATCTGAGTAGGCGGGGGGGAGGGGGAGGCATCTTTGCCTCTTTGCATCTTAGGAAGGGAAATTATTTCTGAAACAGTTTTTTTTCCTTTTTGTCCTGGTGTAACAACTTGGCAAAATTTCCTCTTGTAGCCACTAGATGTACAGAAGCACTTTCCTTTGCACATTGTTAGCCTGGTCAGAATGGTTACATCAAGATGCATAGCTTGAGCTAACTGTAAGCCGCCTGCTTCCTAACAGATGCCGTCCAAATGTTTTGGACTACAACTCCCATCAGGCCCAGCCAGCATGACCATGCTGTTGCTGTTTAGTCATGTCCGACTCTTCGTGACCCATGGACTACAGCATGCCAGGCACTCCTGTCTTCCACTGCCTCCCGCATTTTGGTCAAACTCATGTTAGTAGCTTCGAGAACACTGTCCAACCATCTCGTCCTCTATCGTCCCCTTCTCCTTGTGCCCTCAATCTTTCCCAACTTCAGGGTCTTCTCTTCTCATGAGGTGGCCCAAAGTATTGGAGCCTCAGCTTCAGGATCTGTCCTTCCAGTGAGCACTCAGGGCTGATTTCCTTAAGAATGGATAGGTTTGATCTTCTTGCAGTCCATGGGACTCTCAAGAGTCTCCTCCAGCACCATAATTCAAAAGCATCAATTCTTCGGCGATTATGGTCCAGCTCTCATTTCCATACATCACTACTGGGAAAACCATAGCTTTAACTATATGGACCTTATGACCATGCTAGCTGGGGCTAATGGGATTTACCGCCCCAAATATCTTGAGAGCACCAGGTCAGCAAAGACTGCTCTAAGCAAACCTCAGGGATGGTGACAGCTCTACTTTGGCTTCTGTCTCTGCATCGCAGATTGAGATTCCACTGACAGTCAGCCTTGCATTTGCATTCTGTTCCTGATAGTAGCTGGAACTGTAGAATCTATTTAACCAAATTTAATGATTTTCATAAATCTCATGTGCCTCTATTTTATTCTCTGGGTTCTTTCAGATGCTGTATTTTCCCCCTCCAAATTAAAGCTCATGTGGGTCAGTGTTACACATTCTGAAACTACTCCTCTCTTGGTAAAAAGAAAAGAATATAACAAAGTTGATCCAAACAGCCCTTAGCTGTATGCATCTCTCTCTACAGAGCCACTTCCTGTAGACTTTGAAACAGCCTTGCATGTGAACCAGGCTCAGTAACTGAGGATAGCAAGTGGCGCTGATTCTATGCTATTTCAAAGTACCTTCAACTTTGACTACTTCTGATTTGAAATGAATATACATACATCTGTTGCAAGCATCAAAAGATGAAAAAGATCTTCTCCATTGCACTGTGTAACCAGAGAAGAGGAAATGTACTCATTTTAGGTGGTATCCAACTAAGTTATACTCTGGGTTGACCCATGAAAATCAGTGAACAAGTTAGATTTGAGTAGGTCCACTCTGAGTATGACTTAGTTGGATACAGCCCATAATCTCCTATATTTCAATTATCTTTTCACTGCTGAATTAGCCTTAGGAGAGACAGTAACAATAATGCCCATGCCTCTTTAGTTGCCGTCTGGGATCTTAAACTGAGGATCAAGTCTTTTCTGTGTGCCATTAGCCCACTCTAAACCTTGCAGACTCTTAGTTTTTATATCATCAAGCCCATAGGCATTGTGGAGCTACCTCAGCTATGGGTATAGTAGATCGTGTAACTTGGAAAATCTAAGAATGTGATGGTGGCTTTAGGATGACTAACAATCTCTTTAGTGTTGTTCCTGTTTCAGCAAGCAAACTCTTCCATCCATTTCCTTCCCCCTCACTATGGTCCATTTCAACTCTTGTGATGATCCATTTGGAGGGATACTTTCATGTTGTTTTCATGCTTCAAGTGATGATGAGACAAAACTGATGAAATCTAATTATGAAGTGACTGGTTTTAAAAGCTATAGAGTGGGGGGGAAATATGTTTCTAGGAACCAGGTAAAACAACTGTTTCACAAACTAGCTTTAGGAATATAGGAAGTTTCCTTATACTGAGTCAGATCATAGATCCATCTTGCTCAGTTTTGCTGGTAGTGGCTCTCCAGGGTTTCAGAAAGGGGTTTAAACTTCTTTGGAGCTTAAATCTGGAGCCCTTCTGCCCGCAAGACATAGACTGTGGCTCAGTGGTAGAGCATTTCTCCACCTTTCCTGGTTTTTTCTTGGGTTGGGATTGGCGAGTAATTATTGACTCACTATGTGAGTGTAGTCTGTTTCCTGTTCAGTCCTATAAATCTTGTTAAGATGCTCTAAAATGCTTATATGTCAAGAAATGGGTTGAAATAAATTTTGAGCTCATTTTTAATATAACTTGGTATATGATGTCAAATTGATACACTGTGTTAGTATTCCTTTCAGAAATATTATTAAAATTATTTCTATTGCAGATTTCTCAACTACAGTATGCAGGGGACGGGGGGGGGGGAATAAAAGAGTGTTAGTTTCTACCTGGGAAACCTCAATTGCAGTTTCATCCATGGGAATCCCAAACTTGATTTGATATTTACAGAGAGTTTTGACCAAAGCTTCAAAGTTCTCTTTCTCCATATGTATGTGAATCTAATTTTTTTTTAAGTGGCTCCGGGTAATTTATTATTCGACTGTTAATAAAATGCACCATTAAAAGTCCAACTGTGACTTTAACTTCTGTTCGCCTAGGAAGCAATAAACCTTTCAGGCTCATGAAGCTTTGCACAAAGTAATATA